ATGCTTGAAAAGGTCCTAAGAACAGTAATGCTACATTCATAAAATTCAGTCTACTTTGAAATCCGCTGAAATATTGTTTTAAACTAAAATTATTCATATTTTATTTTTGAGCAATGTTAAAACAAACATTATAAAAAAAATCGGCCATTGCGAGCAAAAACAAAACACGTTTATTGTATTGGGACTCCTTTAAATATGTATATATTTTATTCTGTCTTTTAATATTTTCTATTCATCACCAGCCCTTTTACGTCCCCACTGCAGGGGCTCAGGCCTTCCTTATGGATAGTTAAGGAGGATGGGCCATGACCCTCCACGCTGGCCCAATGCGGATTGGAGGGTATTAACGACTGCAAATGCAGCCGGGACCAGCGGCTTAACGTGCCTTCCGAAACACGGAGTAGCTCGAGATAATAATTTTTGGTCACCCATCCCGTGACCGACCCTTGCGAAAGTTGCTTAACGATTACGATCGCGAGCCGCGGCGCTTATCCACAACGCCACCGAGCGTAAGAATATTTTTTATTACAGGGGCAATAAAAATACATCATCTATAAAAAATCTTAACTGCCTAACTACGAGTACCATAGTTCATGAGAAACAGCCCGGTGACAGCAAAAAATCATGTTCTTTGTATTGGAACCCCCTTTAATATTTATTTTATTCGGGTTTTTAATATTTGTTGCTGAAGCGGCAACAAAAAAAATATATCATCTTTGAAAATTTCAACTGTCTTTAGAGTATTAAAAAAAAATTTCATACAACATCATTTATTACAAAAGACAATAGTAACAAATATCAAAATACGTATTTCTCAAATGGAATTCTATTTTAAACTTATTTTATTTTTCATAATTACTTTATCAATACTGCACTTTTTCAGTCAACAATAATGTCAGTAAAAAAATATACTTAATACAATGTTGTCTAATAATTTAAAAAAAAATGCAATTTCAGCAGCCAATAACAATTGATCACAGTAGTGGATTCCATCACTCCATCTTATTGATACGTAGTATTCTAGAGCGAGAGAGACAACAATAGTTAATCTGAATCTCTGTATTTGCTCGTTACACAAATGTCCACTCAAAGTTTAAAACATTAATTAGAGCTTAAGTTATCTAACAAACTAATAGCTGACTAATAAACAAACGTGCATTAAAATTTACACTAGTTTAATGCAAAGTTACCCTCCCATACAAATTTTCAAATTTGGAACATTATTTAGAATTTAAAGTCATCATTAAACTTTAATGGACATCTGTGCAACAAACCGGTAGATCGATAAAACATTAAACACTAATGTTTTTTTTTTCACAAAATTATGTTTCACAAACAAGTCAAAAGAATTTTGTCAAACAGTGCTGTCAATACGATAAAACAAATCATAATTAGATTTCTCAGTTTAATAATGGTACGCGGACAATAAATTGGGTACCAGTGTAGAGAAATGAAGAGGATATCTTAAAACTAAATATGCCTTTTAGAGACTACCGAGCTAAATGACTAACATAAGTAATAAAAGCGCCAAGTCACAACAGAAGTCTAATCTGTTTTTCTAAACCGAAATAATAACAATAGCGTAAAATAACTATTATATATAAACTATATGATTAACTTAAAGACTAAAATACATTTGTAATAAAGTTATTTTGGCATACATAAATCACAAAAAGAATAAGAAGACATAAATTCGTTTTTGGTTAATAAAAATGTACAATTCTATTTCATTAGCGCCGATGTAATTAGAATAAAAAAATAGACAAAAAGCGCGTAAAAAATTACATAATTTGGAGATGTTTTAGACATTTTAGCTGGCAATAATCTGCAATGTTTTTCTATCGACTTAGCCCTCTTGCAAATGACACAGAATACATTATTTTGAATAATTGCTTCTACATTATTTATACATCGTATAACAAAAAATCATCGGTAACATATTTTTTCTTATACTCATACGCTTTTTGTTATCTACACGTTCCATTTGCTTAATTTTGTTGGCAGAGTCATGTTAAATACCTATAAGACTTTATTGGCCATGTTGCTACTCGTGTCATCAGAAAAAAAAATACAACAATAGAAAACAGAGAAATAAAAGATACACCAATGTTTCTAATAAAATCAAAATTTATGTAATAAATCTATGGTTCAAATTAATTACATAAATGTAATTGTAATTTATAGACATCATCATCATCATCAGCCCTTTTACGTCCCCACTGCAGGGGTTCAGGCCTTCCTTATGGATGGTTAAGGAGGATGGGCCATGACCCTCCACGCTGGCCCAATGCGGATTGGAGGGTATTAACGACGACAAATGCAGCCAGGACCAACGGCTTAACGTGCCTTCCGAAGCACGGAGTAGCTCGAGATAATAATTTTTTGGTCACCAATTCCGTGACCGACCCTTGCGAAAGTTGCTTAACGTCTACGATTGCGGGTCGCGGCGCTAATCCACTACGCCGCCGAGCTACTCATTTATAAACCAATCTCCATAAATTTAAATATCACATACGCGTTTCACTGAAAGTCGAACATAGACAAAAGGAATGACTAAGTAACTACAAGAATTTTTAATTATATTATTTCAATAAGTATCTTCATATAAAGGCCCTGGTCACAATAATAATTTCATTGAAATGGTTACATGGGGTCAGACTCTATTTTTAAGGTGGGTTGTCATGAATTCATTAATTTTATATAACAATATATGTTGTCAATGTTATTATTTGACGATATTTATGAAAATGGCATATTCAATCAGTAACAATATGTTTCACACTTAAGATTTAAGACATTTTTATAGTTTTGGACTTTGTTTCTTTAATTTTCTAAATAATTTCATTATGGAACGAATTTACCACGACGTAGTAACAGGAACACCCAAGTAGCACAAAACACCATTATATCAAACTTATGATAGCACGAGTCCAAGCGTTAAGCATTATAATAAAATCGTATATCAACCGTATGACATGTTCTCTTGGCTGGTCTTTTAAGTATTTTTTAATATTGATTTAAACAGCACGTTATGTGTGAAATAAGCTGCAAACATCAGTTTGTGGAGTAAAATATACAAGTTTATGATGTAAAATACACGCGCCTTCGCAAACTTTCTTTAATATAATAAAAATAATAGAAAATTTAACCTAGTAGCAAAAATTTTTGTTGAATTTTAGGCTTTTTAGCATTGTTTTAACAACATAATTGCTTTTATAGGCATCTGTGCACAAAATAAATGATTATTTACCCCTTTTCATCTGACATAGTTGACTTTAAATATTTTGTAAGAATTGGAAAAAGAAAGCAAATGGCGACTCGTAAAATTAAAGCATTAGGTATTCAAATATAGTGTAGTAGAGCTGTTAATCGTATTATGGTTAGCCACAAAACTAAGAGCTCCTAATTCTAGTATAACACACTCCCATTTTAGGTACAGCCGTATTTTAACACTTCAGAAGTATCTTATAGTGCTTATAATCATCAAACGATTATTTCATTTTTATTTTGATTTTTAAAAGTTTCAATTAAATTAGTATATTCTTTTTTCAGTTTTCTTTTATATCCACCTGTTTTCTTTGTTTTTCCCAACGTTTTTTGTCCATGGCGCCATCGATGCGTATAAAATGCCACCATTACAATACAATACATTAAATAATTTTACATTTTAATTTCACATAAAAAATAATTACGATCTATTTATTACTTGTATCTCTATTAATAACTTAATATTGATCAAAATATAGCCTAATGTTTTATAAAAGCATAGATTAAGAAGATAAAGGAGCTTGAGCTTGATTAAAGAATACTTTAAGAACAAATCGGTGCTAAAGTTTTACTAGTTCTTTATTCAATGTGTATATAGGATAAGCATTAAATCGATACAACCATAGGCCATTAGAAAACCTTCGTTTCTTGAAATTGACTAAATACAACTAAGTGCACTAAATAATATTACGTTAATGCTTATATAATATATAATGTTTTTCATATCACCGAAATACGATAACAGCTTTATATTAATATTACCCAATACTTAAATAGGAGTTTTGACATTGGTATACTTTTTTTATTAACCATAATATGGCATTAAGGATTATTAGATAAAATAAATGCCTTTAAACAGATTCGAAACTTGACCAGTGCTGATTAAAAATGTTAGTATGACTTTAGGGCATAAATCGGTACTTATTTTAGTTAATATATTATTTATGTGCTACTTGGGCAGTCACTACCAGTCTATCTTTAAAAAAATCGTTGTATATCTATATAATGAATGGCGACATTATTCTAAGTGGACGACCATTTTGGAAGCTAAACATAAAAATAAATTACATTGATCTTGTTTAAATGCCGAATATTTAAGAACATATTAATAATCGACTAGACAATAAATCAATTATCTAAACACTATACACTTACCTACCTACTTAAAAAAATATGGAATGACCAACCATTTTTCACCATCAAAAGAGCTTCTGATGAGATCAATAAGCATCATTACAAATTACTCTATATATGTATTTTATAAAACAGCACCATATAAAAAGTTATAAAGATACCCTAAAAGTTAAACTTGCATATGCGCATTTAATGAGAAAAAGATATTGTCTGATTCATTACTATAATATCTTAGCTTCATCATCATCATCATTATCAGCCCTTTTACGTCCCCACTGCAGGGCTCAGGCATTTCTACGCTGGCCCAATGCGGATTGGAGGGTATTAACGATTGCAAATGCAGCCGGGACCAACGGCTTCTGAAGCACGGAGTGGCTCTAGATAATACCATACCCATCCTGTGACCGACCATAGCGAAAGTTGCTTAACAACAACGATCGCGAGCCGCGGCGCTTATCCACTACGCCACCGAGCTACTCTTTCTTCTTCAAGTATATGAAAAATATGAATTTAAAACAAAATACGTACCGTTCTTCTTACACAAAAATATAGAGTATAAAGATTATTGTCGAGACATAGGGAACCTAAAATATCATGAATCACAATCGACTACTTTCTCTCTTCAGTTCTTGCAATTCAGTATTCTTATCATTATTGCTAGTGACTTCTTCCGTGTCATTATAAATGTCACCTTGTAACATAATCTGTATTTCCCTCAAACTCTTCCCTTTCGTTTCCGGTACAAAACCAATAGTGAATACAGCACCAATGATCGCAACCAAAGCAAAGATTCCAAACACTCCACACATTCCAATCAAATCTTTCAATTCTTGGTAACCTTTAGCTATAATGAAACCTAATATACCGCCGTAAATACTTATAGAACTCATAGCAACGGCTTTTATATTCATGGGGAAAATTTCTCCGAATATCACGAATATGATCGAAGTGTACCCGAGTGTGGAAACTATGCTAGAGCCAAGTATGCCTAAGAATGTTACATATCCGTAGGGAGTTAAAACAGTCTGGTCGATTTTGAGAACCTCCTGGCAGAAGAAATACCCTCCTACCATGATGTGACAAACGGCTGTGCCGAAGAAGGAGAATATGAGTAAAGTTCGCCTTCCGACTCGATCAACCAAAATCGAAGACATTATACCTGTAAACCGAGAAATAAATTATATTTTTATAACTACGTCTATGACATTACCATAATTATAGGAGTACCTATTTAACATTCAGTAAGACCTATTGATTTCTTATATTTCCACGAACATTATCCAAAAATGAAACAATTTTTAAACGTTTCATCGCGTTTGTATTTTGTTTTATTGACGTTTCGGACCCTTTACAAATTCATTCAGTAAGACTGTTAAGCGAAAATAGCCTTGAAAAACCGGTCATTGTTACAATATCGAAGGAAAAAGACTGGGAATCAAGACGATGGTCTGACCAAGTGAAAGAACTAATAATGAGTGAGGATTATTTTGACTTAAACTCATCAAACGATCAATTTTTCTCCGTCAATTCTTGTAGAAAGTAGCCTTCGTCACCATGTAGAATCTGGATAGGAAATGTATTCAAGTTCTTCTAAGTGGTGGGAGCTACTTTCGCGAGAATCGATGGAAAAAGATTGTTCGTTTCATGAGTTCCAGTTACCACAATTCTTTGTAATGAGGGACTCACTGAGAAGATCGATAAAACTGTAGAAAAATTATAATTTTCATTTAATCTGGTAAATTTATATCTAAAACATGCTCATAGTTTTTGCTTCACGTATCAAAATGCTCACCAATAAGGAACCTCACTGCTCCAAATATAATGAATACAGTTGTTAGTTTGATATCAGTTTTTGTGTCCTGCATGATGCGGCCAAGGTATTGCTGCACTGTCATCACGCCTGTCATAATCTGAGTCAGCTTAAGTCCTGAAATAAAATTTAGTTCCTTCTAATATATAAAAATTATGTACATTGCCAAAATAATTATTGCTTTTGTTACTGAAATGAGACTTGTAACAATCTATTGATTTATTGTTCTTAAAGAACTGACTGAAATCTTCTGTAAAATATTCTGTAAATTGCACAAAGATACTTTTCTTGCTTTCATTTTATCAAGTCGATAGAAATCAAATTCCATCTTAAAATGCGTTGATAGATATACAATACCGATATTTAAGAATTGATGTTGAACCACTTTCATAGGATTCAAAGAATGAATTATCAAAATTGTATTATTTTGACCTCCTCCGTACCTCGGAAGGCATGTTAACCAGTTGGTCTTAGCTGCATCTGTGGTCGTTAACACCCACTAATCCACAATGGGAATCCACAATGGGTCCACATAGTGAGTCATGGCCCATTCTCCTTTTCGATTCAATTCCATTCCATAAGGAAGGCCTGTGCCCCAGCAGCATTAAAAACCTGGTGATGATGATGTTGAACCACTAATTATTAATATTTAAAATAAGTTACATTTGATTTGCATTGAATAAGCTCCGAAACTCCTGGACCGATTTTAAAAATTCTTTCGCTTACAAGAAGTTACATCATACGATGGTAACATAGGCTATTATTTACGGAACAGCTAGTAATCAATATTAAGATTAGCATACTCGATGTTTTAGTACACAAAGAGATTTAATATAACCAATAACCAATCACGTTATTGTAATAAGCTAGAAATAATGCAATTCATTGTTGGTTGAGTATTACCAGTTTAGTCAGTTTTTATTCTTCTCGTTCTTTATTTTAATCAAATTTCAGAGTGCAATTATCCAAGTTCAAATGTAACTACTCAAGTTAAGATTGCAATTATCCTCATATTGCGTGTACTAACATTATTATAATCTGCAGGGTTTCGATTACTAAAAGACATCGTCGGAGATGGCCCCAATACCAAAAAAATGTAAATTATGGAACAATAATAATTAATCGGTAGCAAATATTATTTATATCTATGGAATATATAACGCGGCATACGCTCCTGGGGTGAAAAGGTGGTATCAAATGATAAAGAGAAATTATATTTAACCTTTGATCGAAATTGGAAGCAATCAGCTTGAATATGGGTCTCGTTATCAACAAGAGCCAAACCAAACTAGTGGTGGCCGACCGGCTTGACACTGTCCAGCGCACCAACCTGCTTCAAGACTACGAAATTGTTGACCACTTTCAAAACTTCGGATCAGTAATTAAAAAAAATAGGTAACAGTGAGCCAAAGCAAACTTTATGGAGCGGATACATGGACACTTAAAAAATCCAGCAGGAAAAGAATAGATACCTTCGAGATATGGTGTAAGCGTTGTTTATTAAAGGTGTGAAGGACTTCCCCTGGACGGCTCATCATAAAAGTCTCTGTTCTTAAAGAACTTAAAATTAAGGAAGTGCAACGACTGTCTTTTGTCTGTTTGTAGAGGATACTAAAATACTTCGGTCACATTGCTCGTAGGAGCGATGACAACCTAAAACGACTGATGGTAACAGGAACGGTGGAGGATAAGATACCCAGAGACTGAAGTACAAAAAGATGGTTGGTTGGACTAAATTCCAAACAAATATATATACTAGTCCTGCGCCTCCCGCATCCAGCGGCTTCCCGCGACCTTTACCAGATCGTCGGTCCACCTTGTGGGGGGCCTACCAACACTGCGTCTCCCGGTACGCGGTCGCCACTCCAGGACCTTACCGCCCCAACGGCCGATCGCTTTGGAAATCTTTGGAGGAGGCCTATGCCCAGCAGTGGGCGTCTCTCGGCTGAAGTGATGATGATGATGATATATACTAGCCAGTGTAGCCCAAATAGAAAATCGAGTCACTATCCTTTGCAGTGAGGGAAAATTTTAGCCATTTCCGTCTATCCGTCCATCCATCCCTCCGCGGTTTAACTCAAAAACCGTTAATAACGACAAAGTGGTAAAATAAAACAAAACATGGGTACTTGTATGTAAAGTGGGGATGATAATTTTTTCACACTTAAGTTTTCGAGTAATAGGTTTAATGAATGAAACGCCTTTAAGCTCTAACGAATGTCAAATTTGTATCTATAATGACGCTTTAAACTAATGTCAATTTTAAAGGACGTTAGTGCAACTGTGTATAAGAAAACTAAGTTAATCGATATTTGATCCTTAGAAAACAACAAACGTGAATTTTTATGGATAATGGTACGGAACTCTTCGTGCGCGAGTTCAAATCCCACTTATCCGGTTTTTATTTTATTTTCAAAAATATAGACTTCGATATCATGTCATGTACTTAACAGGGTGGCATCTCTAGGTGATTCCCAAATAACACATTTGAACTTAATACTCAACGTACGTTGAGCATTGTTCTTTGATTGAGCACAAGTTTAAAAAGATGAGTGGTAAACTTACCGGCAGAGATGATGACCGCCTTCCGATACTGTTCACCAATAAGAAGTTCTTTCACTGAACTGTCACGCTGCATCTCACTACTCACAGACGACTTCATCACCTGTAATTCGTCCTCGACCGCCTGGAAAATACATTTTATATATTTAGTTTTATCCCCATATAATGTTTGGTTTCATAGTGAAATTAAATCCATAGTTATGATCACTTTGAAAGCAAACGTGCCGTTCATTTTTTTTTTATTAATTAGGTAGACGCTAAATCTAAACCAAAATGTCTACCTCCCAAAATGTCCAAATTTTTAAATATCCAATCTAAGTACTATTGTAACGGTGTGCCGTGCCACCGTTTATTTCGTCCTAGGTTTCCGCATGAAAATTTTGATATTCAATTTCATTTCTTTTTATTATTCATCTTTCATATTTTGAAATTTTGACTAATCAAATATACTCTTTATGAATGTGAGTTCATAAATAATCTTCTTTTGTGAACATCTTATTGTAATCGTATAAGTTATAAAATATAAAACCAAATAGGGTTTTTTTCTTTCATCGTCATCATCATCACCGGCTCTTTTACGTCCCCACTGCAGGGGCTCAGGGGTTAAGGAGGATGGGCCCTCCACGCTGGCCCAATGCGAATTGGAGGGTATTAACGGCTGCAAATGCAGCCGCGACCAACAGAATAACGTGCCTTCCGAAGCACGGAGTAGCTCGAAATAATAATTTTTTTGGTCTTGGACTCAAAATGCCTACGGAAAACAATTATTCATCTTTACATATTTTAGGAATTTGACATTTCGGGAATAGAACATTTCAGGAACTGTTTAAATTTAAATAACAACAGGTTTTCAAAAAAATGAAAAAAAGTTTTCCTCACTAGAGAAACGGTCCTGATTTCAACAATATTAAAAAAAAATTAATTACTACAGCCGTTTTTAAGTTTTGCGCTTATCAACACATTGAGGTACTCATTTTTATTTATATAATAACATGTAAGAAGTTATCTTTTAATTAAATTGGAATGTATCTCACCTTACTATCTTTATAGCTTCTTAGTTTTGTCAAAACTCTTCGAGCTTCCTCCACTCTTCCTTCTTTTAAATAATAGTACGGAGACTCTGGTATCCAGCAACAAGCCAGGAAGTATATCAACGGTAATACTAGTATCGAAATATTAAAGATATGGTACGAGAGGAACGGCCCAACTGAAATCGCGAGTAGAGTGCCGAAATTGAACATGAACCTAGTCCCGACCGAGAGGGTGCCCCGTAAATCTTTGTCGGCAATTTCTGCTAAATACATTGACACCACCTAAAAATAAAAAGTGATTATTATCATATCAAAATATAGTTTATTAATTTGATAAAATAGTGGTACTATTAAAACGTAATGCCCTCTGAGCATACAGAAAACATATACAGAACTTAATATTAAAAGCGATCTGTATAGGGAAGCGTGTAAATGTAAGACATACGAAGATCTCTGCACCTAGCTCGGAGGGAGACAATTATCCTTTAGTCTCCCTTGCCAGTTTTCTCCATCATCATGTAGGACCACATCCACCATGGTTCCTACAGTACGGTTCCTACAGTTGTTCGTAGGAACCATGCCATTGATTTTAGTAAAAAAAAACTGCATATACACTTAAAAAAAACTAATTCACAGTTCAGGAATCGAAGTCGGACGTTTTGAAAAATAAAACTTTCATTATTTCTACTTAAATACTCTAAAAAATTTACGTATTTGGCTCGTATAGAACAAAAATATCAATGATCGACGACGACGACGAAATATGAGGTCCCTTGGAAACAAAAACGACAACAAACACCACATAATAGCATTTTCATCTTAATAAAAATTTAGGGTACCTAATAATCAATCATAAATATCTAGCACGAGTAGACAACCGTACATTCTAGGTGACCGATAACGCTAATCTGTCGCTGTGTTCTCACAATTCACCTAAAACTAACGTATTTTTACATTTAATAGTTCATGTCTTTGATAACTTGAAGGCGTAAATCCACTACTAAAGAACAGAACCGACGCATCAAAGAAATGATACCATCAACATCTTTCATCACCAGCCTATAAATGGGGCTCAGGCCGATTAATTTTCCCACTGCTGGGGCTCGGGCCCTCCTTGTGGATGGAATCGAGTCACATTGAACAGAGAGAATGGGCCCTGGCCCACCATACAAGCCTAGTGCTGATTGGTGTGTGTTAACGAATGCAGATGCATCCGGGACCAACAGCTTAACGTGCCTTCCGAAACACGGAGGTCACCGATCCTATGACCGGCTTTACAACTGTATCGCAGACTGAGCGTGCTAACCATTGCGCCGGCGAGCTCTTCAAGATGATATCATCATCATCACCAGCCCTTTTACGTCCCCACTGCAGGGGCTCAGGCCTTCCTTATGGATGATTAAGGAGGATGGGGCATGACCCTCCACGCTGGCCCAATGCGGATTGGAGGGTATTAACGACTGCAAATGCTACCGGGACCAACGGCTTAATATGCCTTCCGAAGCACGGAGTAGCTCGAGAAATTAATTTTTTGGTCACCCATCCCGTGACCGACCCTTGCGAAAGTTGCTTAACGACTACGATCGCGGGGCGCGGTGATAACGACTCAAGATGATATATACTTCTAAAATAAAATAAACTTACAGTTCCAATCATTCCTGTACCCCATCCCCACAGAAATCTCGCTTTGTAAAGTATCCATGGCTTCAGGGAAAAAACTACTAGTATCTGCAATATAATAATAAATTCAAGTCAGTGGTACTCTTGTCCGAAAATATTTCTTCTAATAATTACCTATTTTTTAGGCCTAAAAGTTTTGAAGATCGATGTGGGATGGTTAAAGTTCGTATGTTTTCTTAATTAACATAAATTCTGTTTCATAAGCTTCAAAAAATACATTTCGAATTATCACAACAAACCATTTAATTGGACATATCACAGAATACAGTTAGCAAAACTTTCCCAAATTCTCTAATTTACAAATTGGCTCCAATTATATACGATTTAATATATTATCATATCATTTTAAAATAGGTACGTAAATATAACTCAGTATGTCCTTTGGCAGCAAATCTACTGAAGCAGATAGAGGAAACAGAATAGATCGACGTGTGGATCATGGACACAAGTGGACACAAGTGATCATATTCCGTTTTTAGGTTAAGAAAAAACACTAGCACTTTTCCCGCGACGCAACGTAGATTATTTACTACGTCACCCGTGTATAATATACCTGTATATAATCTAAGCCCGTGGGCAAAAATTTAAAATCGACCGCCCATCTCTCTAGCCACGATTCAAGCCATAGGATACGACATCTTATTGATGTTATGCCAATATTGCGTTTCATTTTCCTACTTAGACATATACTTTAGCAACGACGAACGAAAAATAAAGAATGATAATTATTTAATTGGCAGATGGCAGTGTTACCAAACTTATCCCGTCATTTATCCCAATTTATCCACAAAGATTGCTAAGATGTCCTATAGCTAGAATCGAGGTTAAAGGCGGTCGCTCTGTAGTTGTTTCAGTACTAAAAAGATATAATTTATAAAAAAACGGGTATATAGCGGTACTAGGTTCGCCGGGTCAACTTATAATTTAGATAGTATAGTATTCCATGAGAAAAAACAATCTCACTATCGTTCTCTTAATCTAAGATCATTGTATCAACTAAAAATTTATTAAAATTTTCGGAGGCTATTCAATCAAATCTGTCGTTTTTATATAATAGCTAACTATTTTCCCGCGACTTCGCCCGCGTAAATCATAGCCTATATCACCGGCGTATGACGGAGCTTCCGTGATGAAAGGTTTTTTAAATCGGTCCAGTAGATTCGAAGCAAAAACTGTTGACTACGACAACGATGTGTTCGACGCTGCATTTTTACAGAATACCAAAAACGGAAGTTAATAAGGTTAAAGTTAACTTACCGTACCCAGAGACATAGGGATGGCACTACTTAAAATTGTTGTTCGTCTTCCGTACCGGTCTGATATATAACGAGTGGCAACACTCCCTGCTATGAATCCCGGAGATGACATTGCCAACATCCACGATATATCTTTCTGAACAAATAAATTGACGTATAAAAAAAAATCTAAACAAATGACTTCATACTAAAAAATCTCTATTCCGATTCAAGAAATTGAAGTAGGTATTTGAGTTATACTTGTAAGATATATAAGAAAAATGTAAATATATAAACAGATTGAATCACAGAAATATATCGATAGTGGAAAGGCAAAACTGCTAAAGCGCCAAATAAGCCAAAATGAGTTATATATATGTTTGAATAGGATTTTTTTTTCTGCGTCGATTGGTGCGGGTCTCACATCAATCCGATGACTTTTTTGGCGCTTTAGCAATCGCATTTGTAAAGGAAAATCACAGATTTGTATTTCTAAAGCGCCCTAATTTCAGTGTTTTTTAAGTTTTGGCGCTTCAGTAGTACATTTTTTTGCCACATTGTAGTTATGACACTTTTCTTGCCGTCGTTCTGTTTATTTTCATTACATACGCACTTTTTCTTGTCTATAATTTCATTGACTAATGCACAATAGCAATTTAGCCTTTTCGCACATTAATATATAACTGCTTATTAGTAAGTTTTGTTGAAGATGAATTTCAATGATTTATCACATTAGCAAAATTTATTGCGCGCTACATAAGAGCGGTTGGCGCTTTAGCAAAATTTTCCTATTTATAATTTACTCATCACATTCTATTAGTAAAAAAATTAACGCCAATCTATCAAAACAAGTTATTTATCTGGAAGTTAGCAAAATAAAAACCTATATTCAAAAGTTAAAAACCTGGATGTAGTAAGGAAAATACCGAAAATATTCAAACCCGGCTTGAGAGGAAACAGGAAAGAATTATCAAGCATATAGATTTTTTGTCAGCCGACGAATTGTTTACTTTGTATTCTTCTTCTTGGGACGAATCAGATGAAAGTGACAGCTCTAACATATCAAATGCTAATAGAAAAATTAAAATCCAAAAGAAAAACATGAAAAAAGCTGAAAAAGGAAACAAAGACAACCATTACTTGACGTCAATAGAAAATTTAAACAAAGAAAAAGAGATAAATACAAATGACATTAGAAAGAAACAAAAGAAATTTAATAAACGTAAAGACCGAAGTTTTTTGAAAAGATCCGGGTAACGATATATTACAATGAAAGGAAAGGTAGTAGACGCTAGATCTCTAAAAGAAAATCCATGTAAGCCTAATGGTAAATGTCCTAATGAATGTTATAGTATATCAGAAGAGAGAAGAAAAACTATTTTTGATCACTATTGGAGTTTGAGTGTTGAAAGACAACGTGATTGGATAGTAAGCCATATTAAGAAAGAAACAGTAAAGCGAAAGCGCACCAAAGATATAGAAAGCCGAAGGCAATTTACATACAGATATTGCATTAACGATGGAGAGGGCCAAAGACCCGTGTGCATGAATTTCTTCATGAATACATTAGATGTTCGACAAAGGAATGTTCATCTACTAGTTAGTAACTCGGAATATGGAAGCTCTAAAAGTGACAAAAGAGGCAGAGGAGTACCAGCAAATAAAACTCCTCCGTCATTGATAAACTACGTAAGGGAATATCTTCAAGAGTTACCAGCTGTTCCTCCTCATTACTGTAGGAAGAATTCAAATAGAGTTTATTTGCCACAAGAGTACAAAAATTTAACAAATTTATACAAACTTTATAAGTTACAGAATATAGATGCAGGGAAAGAATATGTTGGTGAAAAGGTATTTAGGAATATATTTAACACAGAATTCAATATTTCATTTCATGTTCCCCGGAAGGACAAATGTGTAAAGTGTATTAAGTATGTAAACAGATCGGAAGAATTTAAAGAAGAAAAAACTAATCACTTACAAGACAAGGAAGAAACGTATTCGAGATTCCAGGTTCATCAAGATCTTCATAATCATGATAGTAGTGTCTTATGTTCAACATTCGATTTACAAAAAGTGCTTAACACTCCATATGGTGAAAGCACGTTGCTCTATAATAGCAGGAAGATTGCAGCATATAACTTAACATTCTACGAATCCGTAACCAGAGAAGGGTTCTGCTTTCTATGGAATGAGGTAGAGGGCAAGCGAGGAGCAAATGAAATTTGCAACATTTTAGCAAAATACATCAAAATCGTAGATGAAAGAAAAACTATAAAACATTTACTACTATATTGTGATGCTTGCCCAGGGCAAAACAAAAACAAAATTATTTTGGCCTGCATTTCCAAAATTCTCAATCTATGTAAAAATATTATGACAATACAGATTAACTATCTTCTACCTGGGGCACACCTTCATGCCGGTAGACTCAATGCATTCGGTCATTGAAAAAAGTGTTACAAATACCATCATATGGGCACCATCCCAATGGCCGACTGTCTGTTCCCTTACAAAGATTTCGAAGGATGGGACACAGTATCCGAAAAATACTTCAAAGGCAACCTTACGGGTAAAATAAGTAAGATTCGGATTGCTACCTTTAAAAAAAATAATCTCACTCGCATGGAGGTCAAATACTCTATGTGTGATAAATCGACCTCATGCCCAAAAAAATTTATAAAACCAGACTCCCTATTTCCAAAAAGAAATATAATTATTTGGAAAAATTATGTAAGAATAGAACTATTCCTGCAATGTATATTCTAGAATACGAATCCTTACCGCAAGCTTCCAATATACAAGACTGTCTACCTGATACAGACGTAGAAGATACCGTGGAAGACTAAATTAAAATTTTAGAGTTATTTAAATAATTATCATTGATTTGTTTATTAATTATTGATATCTTGAGGCTAGCATTTTCATTAAATTTTCTGTTGTAATTGTATTCAATAATGAATATTTGTTGAAATAAGATGTCATTCGATGGTTCATTAATGTGTAAGAAAATAATTTATCAGTGATTGTTATGAAAGAAAGTTATATTATTTTTTGTTAACTTAATTATGCAAAAATTGTGATTATTTTTAGTTCATAAAATTCCTAAAAAAATCTGAATAAAGATTATTTAATGTGACAATCTAACTGATACCAAATTATCTGATTTTCGATTTGTTTTGTTCCAATATTTTTGTAACTACAAAAAACTTAATTGAATAAATATACTTATGTTGATTTGCAATACTAGTTTTTATTTTTGTTATTTATTGTCTATTTTTTTTACCATTCAAAATTGCTACTTAGTTCATACATTTAGATCTTTTGTTATTGTATTATTCGAAGTAAAAGGCCTTTAAGATTTTTTGCCTCACTACAATTTATTAAGTTCATAAGGTTAGCTATATTTGCTGCCGACATTGTATGTATATATTGCTGCTTAGTAATTATTGAATTTTCAATAATAAGTTGCAATTCTCCATTAGCAATTTCGGCTCGATTGACCTGATTCATCTATTTCACTTAAGCATTTTTTCCAGAACCATAGTAAGTAGTAAGCCGAGACGTTTTTTCTAAAGCGACATGTATTTCACTTGTTAAAATAGTTATTAATCTGCAAAGATATTCTAAATTTAGATAAAAAATCACTTATCATTATTTATAAAAATGAACTTCATTAGATTAAAAACAAAGAATTTATAAATTTATTTGTAAAAAGAAAAACTTTAGAATTCATTTCCCAAAAGTGCCATTGTAGCGTATTAGCAATTTTGCCTTTCCATTGTCGATATCTAGTTAGAAGGAAAAAGTGTACGTACTTCGCGTGCCGAAACGACGTCTAGACAGCTCCATTGCTTGCCGCGAGGCTCAGTCCACTTTCGATCGCAATCGGTGTTGGACGTTAGGTGTGAAATTTAAAATGACGCGTTGTTCGATAATTAACTGCTCAAACACCACCAATATAGTTGGATCTTATAGTCGAGGTATTTCCTTCCATCGGTGTTGCTCCGTATTATTTTTATCAAAACGATCGTGTGTCCAGTAATAGCTTTCCATTGCGGCTTTAATTTGACAGTCCAAATTTGCTGTGCTTGTAAAACCATCGATGTATAATTCAAGGTCAATTTGTTGAAGGACAAATTATCATTTTTTCTGTCAAAAATGGAGAATAGTGCTGTACAATGCGATTTTTTTACTCAATTAAAAAAATATCGTTTTTGAAAGCAGAAGAAATGATAATTTATTTTTATATTGAATTGTACTGTAATTTTTGTTTAAGTTTTCCGTATGATCCTCATATTAAAAATTAATAGATTGAAGCAACAGGACTCTAAGGCAAATAGTAGGTATACTTACTGGACATGGAAATTTTAACAAACACCTATATAACATGGGTTATTCTGACAGTCCTCTGTGCAGGGCGTGCATGGAGACTGAGGAGACAAGCGCTCATGTGATACTGGAATGCAGGAGCCTATCAAGACAAAGGACTACATATCTAGGTAGCCCAAGGACACTAGTGGAGGCATGCGGCAGAGTTCGAGAACTTACGAGCTTCCTGGAGGAGCTAGGGGTGGCAGGACTAATGCAACCCCGTGTCACGCAAAATAGGCACTGAGTGTCGAGTTGCGGAAAAGCCCGCCGTGAAACATAACAGGACGTAAAAATGTGTAGTGTGTCGGGAGGGGGTAGCGGTTACTACAAAGTGTTTGCCCACAGAAAATGCCGTTTTCTATTCTATCGCATAAAATCTTTTTTGCGCCGATTCACTAAATTACATTCGTGACATATACATAATATTTAAGCAAAATGTTACACGTCTCCGACGATCGATATCGTTTTTTCAATCGATAAGAATTGGTATGCCATTTCAAATACAACATGTATTCGATGTAAGTGAAATTATGTCTTCCATCACTAAATTAAGATCGTGACGTCATGATACTTACACAAAATGTGGCACGCTCGGTCTCCATATAAATCGACGAACATTTTCCTTCTAACTAGTGTAACAATCAGTTTATAATCATTACTTAGTAATAGTCCTTATTAAAAACATAAAAGGTATTTGATTTGATTTATGTATCAATTGATTCGATGATCGATTATTCACCGACAGTTTTGTCAATGAATAATCGATGTGATAATCGAGCTGTC